AATTATATTGAGAGGATGAGTAGAAAGGGAGTGGGAAAATGAAGAAGTATAGTGATTTGAATGAGATGTCCCCCACTAGTTTGGGGCATTTGAACACTTGAAATATGTTGTTTTCACAACAGTAAAATTATGTTTTTATTACTATGGCTCTGTAGTATGTAGCATGAATCTTAAAAGTTCTTATTAATAAAAACAAACCTGGAGCTAGGTTTTGGGGTGAATGCTGCAATATCAGAGAAGCAGAACAAGACACAGCTGCCTCACCTTGCCAATCCCTCAGCTGATCCTGTTTCCTCAGACTGGAAGCCTCTCAGTCCTCATCCGAATGGGTCTCAGCTGAACTGCTGCTCAAAAGCCTAAAAGCTTAACCAGCTCTAGTTCCTGGTCCTCACACCTTATATACCTTTCTGCTTTCTGCCATCACTTCCTGGGATTAAAGGCATGAGTCACCATGCCTGGCTGTTTCCAGTGTGACTTTAAACTTACAGAGATCCAGATGGATCTCTGCCTCCCAAGTGATAGGATTACCATTTTTCTGGCCTCTAGTGGCTGTTCTGTTCTCTGACCCCAGATAAGTTTATTAGGGTGCACAATATTTTGGGGTACACAATATCAACCACAGTAGTATAATTTGAAATGAGGTATGATGTAATTGATGTGATCCCCAGAAATTCTCTTTTTGTTCAGGATTGCTTTAGCTATTCAGTCCTTTGAGTTTCTGTATGAATTTTAGGATTTTTTTATTAGTCTATTAATTAATTTGCAAGTCAAAATATGCAAATTAACAGATGAAAAAGACCACACAAGCAAAATGAAAGGTGGAATGAGACAATTATCTTTTGACAACTTTCTCTGTCTTTTCATAACTAAGTATCTCAGCAAATTAGGCGTGATAAAAAGTTGAGAACTTTCTCTGTAAGACCAGAGACAAAGAGCTCACTCATGTCACTCCTATTCAACAAGGCACTGGAACTAGGTCAGTGTAATTAGGGAAGAGAAGAGATTTTTTTTTATTCAAAATTAGTGCTGGAGAGATGGCTCAGCAGTTGGCAGGACTTGCCACTCTTGCAGAGGACGTGGCTCCTATCACCCACACAGTGGCTCACAGTCATCTATAACTTAGTTTCAGGGTATTCAACACTGTCTTCTGGCCTCTGATGGTAGGAGACAAACGTGTGGTTCACAGACATACATGCAGGCAAAACACTCATACACATAGAATAAAATAAATAAATCTTTAAAATTAAATTAATGTTTGAATCCAAATTAAAGAGGAAGAAGTTAAATTATCTTTGTTTACAAATAATACTATATTATTTATAAAACTCCAAAGATCCCACCCTAAAAACTATTAAAAGGAATAATAAAAGAAATAAATGAATTCAGTAAAGTTGCAGAATACTAATCAATATCTAAAAATTCCAACCAAAATTCCAATGACATTCTTCATAGAAATTAAAAAAAAATCTTAAAATTCATACAGAAATGCAAAAGATTGAATAGCTAAACTAATTCTGAACAAAAAGAGTATCTCTGGGGATTACATCAGTTACATCATACCTGATTTCAAATTATACTACAGAGCCATAGTAATAATAACAGAATTGCATTGTCATGAAAGCAGCATCATAGAGCCATGGAATAGAATAGAGGACCCAACTATGAGGCCAGACAACTACAGTCCCCAAATTTTTACAGGGAAGATGAATATACACTGAGTGAAAGGCAATGTCTTCAACAAATGATATTTGGAAAATTGAATATCTACATGAAGAAGAAGAAGACTAAGTTCTTACCTCTCACCCTTCACAAAAATCAACTCTAAATGGACTGGAGGCCTCAACATAAGATCTGAAACTCTGAAACTTCTAGAAGAAAAAGTAGAAAGTACATGTCAAGATGTGGGCATAGCAAAAGACTGAGTAGGAACTCCAATTGCTCAGGAAATGAGACTATGACTCCTCCATAAGATTTGCCTATAGGAAGTTGGGCAAAGTGGCACACACCTTCACTCCCAGCACTCAGGAAGCAGAGGAAGGTGGATCTCCTTGAGATCAGCCTGGTCTACATAGTGAACTCCAGGACAGCAGAGCTACACAGTGAGACACTGTCTTTTAAAAAAAATGCCTATAGGTAAGTCTATAGTGCATTTTCTTGGTTGATGATTGATAGGGGAGGACCCAGCTCATTGCGGGCAGTGCCACTCATGGACTGGTGGTCCTGGGTTATAGAAGACAGCAGGATGAGCAAGTCATGAAGAACAAGTCAATAAGCAGCACCGTTCCACAGCCTCTGCATGAGCTCCTGCCTCTGGGTTCTTGCCCCACCTTGAGTTCCTACTCTAACTTCCTTTATTGATGGAATGTGATGTGAAGCGTAAACTTAATAAACTCTTTAATTCCCAAGTAGCTTTTGGCCATGGTGTTTTATCACAGCAATAGAAACTCTAACTTATTCAGAAGCCAATAATCAACAAATAAGATCTCATGAAATTAAAAATCTTTTGGATAGCAAATGAAACTGTCAGTCTGGTGAAGACACAGTACCCAGAATGGGAGAATATCCTTGCCAGATATGCATCTCACAGAAGATTAGCCTCACTTTCATAAGAATACTACCAAAAGACCAGAGAGATAGATGCTAGCAAAGGGATGGGGAAAAGGGGCCTGTGCATTATTGTTGGGCTATAGAAACTGGCCCAGTCACTGGAGAGGAGAAGGTGGGGAGTCTGAAAAATGTTAAAAATAGAACTACTGTGTGCTCCAACAACACCACTTCCAGATATTCATCCAAAGGAAATAAAATCACTACATCATCGGAGGGCTGCATCCCTGTATTTGCTGCCTGCAACCTTATCTACAGTAGCTGAGACAGGGAAGCAACTGAAGTGTTCATGAATGTGTCAATGGATTTTAAAAATGGACACAGATATGCTGGAATATTGCTCAGCTATCAAAATAGAATATTCTGTCATTTGCAATAACATGGATGAATTTGTAGGATATTTGCTAAGTTAATAAGTCAACTACAAATTCTCAGTTGTATGTAGAATCTAAAACTGTTTGCTTTGTAGCAGCAGAGACTAGGATGTGGTTTCTAAGATCTAGATTTTGAGAAACGTGGGCTTGCAGTTCAAAGGTCACAAAAGGTCAGTTACAAATTCTGAGGACTGGTGGACAGCATGGTGACTCTAGCTAGAAGCACTGTACTGGATGTTTGCTAGAGTGGTTGGGCTGTTTAGTGTGTCAACTCCACACAAGTCAGGGTCCTCTGGGAAGAAGGCATCTTAGTTGAGGAAACGCCTCCATCAGATTGGCCTAAAGAGTCTGTAGAATATTTTCCGGATTGATGATTGATGTAGGAGGGACCTGATCGCTATAGCCCATGTCGCCTTTGGGGGTCCAGAGCATAAAAGAGAGCAAACTGACCAAGCCACAGGGAGCAAACCAGTAAGCAGTGTTCCTCTGTGGTGGTCGCTGCTTCAGTTCCTGCCTCCAGGTTCCTGTCTTGAGTTCCTGCCCTACCTGCCCTGAGTGATGAAGTGTGACTTGGGAGTTGTAAGATGAAATAAACCCTTTTCTCCCCAAGCTGCTCTTGGTCATGGTGTTTTATTGCTAAGACAGTGATTGATGTGGGTGGGCCCAGCCCGTTGTGAGCAGGATCACCCCTAGGCAGATGGTCCTGGGTGATATAAGAAAGCAGACTGGGCAAGCTATGGAGAGTATGGTAGTGTAAGCAGCACTCCTCCATGGCTTCTGCTTCAGTTCCTTCCTCTAGGTTCCTGCCTTGAGTTTCTGCTGTGACTTCCCTTCACGATGGACATCAGTCCATCCAGCTGAAATAAACCCTTTCCTCCCCAAGTTGCTTTTCATCATGGTTTTATTAAAAGGATGTTAATAAATCAACAACAGTTACTTGAGCCTGAATCGTCTCACTGTAACATAAAAGACAGCAAAGTGGTATTGCCAGAAGACCAGCAGGTAGTTGGGTGTTACACTACAAACGTCAAATGCATAGTTCCTCTGTGTATGTGTACGGTGAATTATCTGAGGGAAGACATGAAAGGAAACTTCCAGATCCTGAAATTGTCTCATTCTTAATATGGATGATGGTTACATCATTTAAATGCAAATAAATATTCATTGGACCATACATTTTATTGTATATAAAAAGTAACATAAATAAAGGTGATACTTAATGGTTACCAGCACATTTCAAAGTGCTGACTTTAGTTTTAGGATGAATGCTTTATCTAAAGAGTTGCCTTCAATAGTCTTAAAGAGATCTCAGCCTGGCTACTTTGGTTTTGCTTTCGAATCTTTCTAGGCATCATCAGGTGCCTGAGACAGTACTGGCTAATGTGATTGTCCCTGAGCCCTGCCTGCACTTGAACCCAGGATATCTGTGCATGGAATAGATGATAAGAATTACAAGAAGAGGAACCCTTGGTACAGTATTCCAATTGGAGAATGTGTCTGTTTAATACAGATATCTTAGAAGAACATTTAGGGGACCAAAATGTCCCTCCTATTTTATAGACCATCTTGACTGTGACTGCTGCATATGAGAAGCCTTTTCTCTGTTTTGAGAAGTTAGTACGATAGCAGAAGTTACATCCAGAAGCATGACCTCATTAGGGGATGAAGTAAGGAGGTGGGCTCAGCTGTCCTGGTTTGTGAAATCTTCCTGTGTCATCTAATATAGCAGTCATATGTTCTTTGTAAGAGCTGGTTGTTAAGAAACCTTTTTGTGTGCTGGGGTATGTTAATACAGGACTGGGGGACAGCAGGAATCAACCTGAAATTGAGCTTTGAGAAAATCTTCTTGAACTCCAGTAATTCAAATATGTGTTTATATTTTTTATATTTATATATTTAAATATAAATTGACCAGAAAACACACACACACACACACACACACACACACACACACACACACACACACACACACACACACTTAATGTCAAAGGAGAAAAAGAAATACTTTTTAATTGCATAAAATCTGTGAGTCAACTTTTCTTTTTATTAAGGCATTATTTCCACAGACCAGCTTTTGCCAACTTCTACAAATTTTAAACCATTCTCTGACTTCAGAAAATAGAAACAAGGAAAATGAACCAGTATTACAAAAAGTTCTGACTTAAAAAAATACTCAAAGTGAGAGTGTACCATCAATTTCATTTTTTAAAAAAAAAAAGATACATGGATGCTTGAAGAAAGAAAAAAGTTACTAGACTAAGCAGAAGTTACATGCCAATGTTCTCCAAACGCTGTGCAGAAATTAGGGCCCCCCTAATCTTTTTAGTCTAGCAACCTTTCCAACCTTGCCTGGCCCATCCATCCACCTATTTGCAGGTATATTTATCTCCCGGTGTCTCCGTTAGAATGACTTTTCTGTCTGACCATAAGGACAGTGGCTTTCTCCTGCACTTAAAGAGATTGCTTTAGGGACTGTAGATAGGCTCCTAAATGATTATTTGGTATGCATCTTCCATTTCTCGGTTTTGATTTCTTTCTAAAAGCAATGTGCACTTATTATAGAACTTCAGAAAGTTTAGATAAGTCAATTAAATCAAGACAAAAAAATCATAAAAGTTGATTAAAATCATTTAACATATTAAATATCTATGCACATATAGATATAAATATAGGACGCATTATGCTCTGTTTTGAAACTTTTAAAAAACAATTATTTTATGTTTTGCCTCCATGATAAATAAGTAAGGTATCGGATCCCTGGAACTGGGGTTCACAGACAGCTGTAGAGCTGCCATGTGGATGCTGGGAATTGAACCTGGGTCCTCTAGAATACTAGCCAGTGCTCTTAACCACTGAGACATCTTTCCAATCACTTTTTTGAAGCTTTTTAATGGCTATATGGTCTATCTTACTTACTCTGACTTAGTATCTCCTTTTGATCACACTGTTCTGGTTCCATTTCATCAAAACAATTCTTTGTTATCAGACAGTATTAGTTTTGTCATGGTGATGAAAAATCCCTGACAGGAAGAAAAAGGAGAAAAGACAATTCACATTCATCATTCACAGATGTGTAGAGTTTGGTACCTTTTGACAGGGGAGGTATGCCAGGGAAGTGGTGGGAACACGGGGCAGAGACTATTTGCATCACGCTGGGACAGGAAGCAGAGAAAGGGGCTTGGTCCAGGGCCTTGGCTAAAACCTTCAAAGGCTCACCCTCCGTAGTCTATTGTTTTTAGGCAGGTCTCACTTCCTAAAGGATCCATAACCTCCCCCAAGTAATTCCATCAGCTGGGAACACTCAAAACAGGAGCCTGTGGGCTTACGATAATCTCTGGGAACTAAACTATTGTGAGCATTCTTGATGATGTTCCAAAAATAAATTTCTAAAGGTAAAAATATCAAGTGAGTATAGATATACACACTGTATACAATCTGCTGTTCTGATGAGTTGCACTAAGCCTCATAGTTCTCTACATGAGAAAAAAGTGGTGGAAACGTTATCAGAAACCTCACCTACATGAAGAAATTAAAATTGTGATGATGGCAGCATACCATGATCTTCTTAGATTTCACTTCAGGAAATGTTTTTTATATAGGTGGGCAACTGTGATTTGGTAAAATAAAAAAACCAAAAAACAAACAAAAAACAAAAAGCTACAGACGTTCAGAAGCCATGCCTGCTCTTCAAGTGATCAGAATCTACAATAGTTTTTAATATGTTTTTGTATTGCCAGATAATAAGAAATTATTTTGGTACAATCTCCCAAGGGGGTTCTAGGCAAATGTAGATGGCTAGAACATTTCAGACCCAGAGAACTGGCTAAAAACAGAACTGCACAATGATGCAGGCTGTCTTGTGGACGTTGTTTCCTCTGAACGATAGCAATGTCTGTTTATAAGGAATACACAAACGAAGGGAAACTTTGAGTCACTTAAATTTGGACACTAAGGTAAGGATGATGGAGAGTCAGTCCTAGGAGTGGAAGGGATGGTGTTCAGTGTGGGAGTGGCCGAGTTCCAGTGTGGTGTGGTGAGAACACGCACTGAGCAGGGGGGCATGCAAATATAAGACAAGGCGGGTCTGAGCGATGACCTGTAAAGGGCAGGCTCTTGAACTGATGAGACTAAAATGTCAGCATTAAATCTAACTTTGTGGTAGAATCTGACAGAAAAGGTGGAAGCCAAGGCGTTTCTTTCTGTGACACACTTAACTTCTAAGACTTCCAAATAAACTTAGGCCCGAAGGCTCCCTGTTACCCACCCTCACATGAATAATCCTTCCACTTTGTGTTCTGTTCTGTAGAGCAGCGTATTATCTATTTAAAGTTAAGAAAGGTAGCCAGGCATCAGTGGCACACGATTTTAATCCCAGCACTCGGGAGGCAGAGCCAGGTGGTACTCTGTGAGTTCCAGACCAGTCTGGGCTACAAAGTGAGTTCCAGGACAGGCTCCAAAGCTACACAGAGAAACTCTGTCTCGAAAAAAACAAAAAGAAAAAAGAAAGGTAATTTTCTGACTTGTGTGGCCTTGGGTAAATAGAGCTATACTAAAACATGTTCCTGGTACATGGCTCACACATTGTCTTTTTAAACAGAAAATGGAGAGAAAACACTCATGATGAATTTAAATGTATGTCTTAACTCCTAAAGAGAAAAAATATATATATCACTGGTCTTTGGTTAAGTTTTAAATGTCTTTGCATATTTTAAATAGTTTTAGGCTAACTATGCTAGCATGGTTCCTATATGGCAAACAAATTAATTTTTGTCTCCCTTAGTTTTAAAACTAGCAATTTACTTTTGCCCAGAACAGCACACTATATTGTAATATGTTATTAAAATTGAATGAAGTAGAAGAGGATGGATCTTTTCAAGTCATACCTTCTTCTAGTGCTAATCAGAATGTACAAATTCTGCTCTACTCAGAGTGAACTTACTCTTACTTTGAATTACTTTCTCAATTTTTGAATGCCTAAACATCTCTGTTTCCATAGTGCAGAACAATCCCATGCTGCATACAACTAACAGTCATGGGACTGAGTCATTGTGGAGTGCATTCTCCATGCTCTATAACTTTTGAATAGCTGGAACTGCTTTTGTGTGGACTGGACTGTATTTTTTTTTTGACATGCTCATAGCTTATAACTTGAAAAGTAAAATAAAATTTTCATTTTTAAAAGCTTTCCAAAATGAGATGGGGTGGGAAGGATCTTGAGATCTGTGGCCCAGTGCTTCTGAGCCCATGCGTTTCCTTGGTCACTGGCCACATCCATTCTTAATAAACTCTCTTTCTTTCTGCCGCCTTACTTATAACCTTGGTACAGTTGCTTGCCTTGGGAAAGGAGGAACTGGACACTGCAATTTTGGCTCCCAGCCTCCCTCAGATCCACATCCTTGGTTACGGTCTCCCTTCTGGGTTCTCATACCTTCCTTTTCCAGTAGGTCCTGGATGCCCTGTGTTTTTCTGAAGCTCATCTGCTCCTTGTCTCTCAGGAATGAGGCAAAATGGGGAGGTGGAAAATTACGGAGGAGTGAGAAGGGAAAGGAGCCCCTCACATTGGGGGAGAAGCAGGGATTCCAGGGTGATGCTGTGGTGGTTTAAATAAAAATGGCCTCCATAGGCCACATAAGAAGTGGCACTATTAGGAGGTGTAACCTTGTTGGAGTTGATGTGGCCTTGTTGGAGGAAGCATGTCACTTGGGGTGGGCTTTGTCGTTTCAAATGCTCAAGCCAGGCCCAGTGTCACTCTGCCTTTCTTCTGCCTGCCAATCTGTGTGTGAAGCTCTCAGCTACCTCTCCAGCACCATGTCTGCCTGCCCGACATCATGCTCCCACTATGATGACAATGGACTAAAGCTCTAAACCTGTAAGCCAGCCCCAATTAAACACCTTCCTTTATGGGAGTTGCTGTGGTCATGGTGTCTCTTCGCAGGAATAAAAGCCCTAACTAAGACAGACTGCAAGTGCTTTAGGCTTTTTCCCTTTCCATCTAGAAACCTGAAGTTTTCTAGGAATCTCCTTAGAAACCAATCTACATGAAAAGGACATGCACTAAACCCCTTGTCAAGCTCTAGGCACTTCCAGTTTTTACCATGTTATGCGCCCTTGGAAAGCCTCTATCCACACTTGGGTCTGTCTCACTCTCTGACACTCTTGAGAAGTCCACACTGACACTTGGGTATGCCTTTCTTTCTGAGTAACTTTCTCCTAGCCCACAGTCTTAAAGCTTATATTAAACGCTCTTTAACCAAGTCACCAGTTCATCTTTATACTGGCTAATCCTGAAATTCTTTTCGACACTGAAGCCACAAATCACAATTGAGGCTGCATCGGGGTCTATAAAAGACTTCAGTTTGCTGGGGCAGAACTATGCATCTGTACCCTCCCCGCTGGTAGAAAGAGAGTCTATTTTTTGTCCTCCAGACCCTTTTCCTTCATTGGGTTACACACAGGCAGCTTCTGATCTTTATCTTGCCTTTCTGGATTTTCTATTGCAGAGATTTTAACCCTGTGCCCAAGAGTTCCCAATCAGCCCATGGGTAGATATTTAGGGGATGGGGTCAAACTTCAGTGTAAAAGCAATAGCAGCAATTATTTTTTATAAGCCTCTAACCAAAATGCCAACTAGATTTCCTTTAATTATGACTACATGTAATTAACCAAAGTAGTATTGAAACTAATGTCACATTTTGATCTAGCGTATTCATATATGTTTTCATATCACACTGAACTTGGTTCCTCAAAAATCTCAGTTTAATTAACATCTTGTTCTAAAGGTGTAAGTTGTTTTACTTACAGCATCACCAGAACCTAGACCTCCTCCAGCATCTAGACTTTAGCTAGAACACATGGACAACTGCTTGTCTACAGATGTGAAGCCACACAGTAGGATATCAAGACAGCTACTATATAATTCTATCTTAAAATTTTTTATTTTATTTTTGTGGATGGATGTTTTGCTTACATGTGTGTCTGTGCACCACATGAAAGCAATTCCTGTGGGAACCAGAAGAAGGCATAGGATCCACTGGAAGTGGAGTTACAGATGGTTGTGAGCTGCCATGTGAATGCTGGGACTCAAAACTAGAGCCTTTGGAAGAGCAGTCAGTGCTCTTAACCACTGAGCCATCTCTCTAGCCCCAATAGTCCAATGTATTGATTTACTTCTTATGTCCATATATTTTATTTTATGTGTTTATAGGTATTATTAGAAAAAGTCTTCAGGCTTCACCAGACTGCCAGAGTGATCATAGCACAAAGATGGTAGAACTCTGGGTCAGGAATCACAGCAGATTCATTGCCCAAAGGAAGAGTGCTCCTGTCTATCAGCAAGTAAAACTCTATTAGATATCTTGTCTGTTGCCCGGGACAATGAACCAAAGCCAAGTCCTCTGTATAAAATCCCAGGTGTTATGATGATCTGAATGCATCTGTTTAACAGTTGGTCCCTGGATGGTTTTAGGAGGTGGTGGAAACTTTAGAAGTGGAACCTAGTTGGAGGAAGTGGGCTGTAGGAGGACATGCTTTTGAAGGCTGTATCTGGTCTCCAGTCCCTTACACAACCTGCTTCCTATCCACCATGAAGTGACCAGTGTCCTCTTCTCCATGCTCCTACCACTTTTCCCGAAAGCCTAGGATCAGCACAGCCTGTGACCCCAGACTGAAACCTCTGAAACTGTGGGCAAAATAAATAATTCTAGCTCCCTCTGAGTAGTTCTGCCAAGCAGTGGGTTAAGGAATCCTTTTACATCAAAACAAAACCAGAACAAGACAAAACCAAACAAAAATGTAGTTTGTGCACTAAAAGAGAAAAACATGCTACCTTACCCAGGAGTTTGATTGTTGCAGCACCCAGCAGAAAAGAGAGATACCTAGCTGGCTTGACAGCCTCAAGAGACAGCATAGCCGTGATCATCTGTTGATAGAAAGAAGAAGGTAGAAGAGAGGATAAGGCATGGAAAGCAGAGGAGAGGACCCAGAGGAAAGGAAGACCTCAGCACAGATGCCATTCATCCTGTAGACCACAGACAGGGTCTAAAAGCAGGAGCTGGAGAACCACACCATTGGTGTGTCCCACTGGATATATTCACCATGGGTCACCTTTCAAATCAAATCCTGCCAAGTTAGAAACCAGCTCTCTGGAACCCAAAGCCTGCACTCTGAAACATACTTTGTCTTCCACAAAAGGTAATAAATAGATCTTCCTAAGCACTGGGAAGACGTCCTCTCTACATGACTGATAAATTACCTGACCAGAGCAGTTGTCTCCTCTCACATAAAAACAAAAAGACAGCTGAGTGGTAGAGAGTACTTCATTTTATGTTCAACAACAAGCAAGTTTGAGGGATTCCCATGTGATCTTCCACCCCTACTCCACCAATCCCATTTCCCCACCTTGTTTTATTCCATTTCCCATCTTCCTTCTTGTTCAACTATCCTGGCTTCCTCTTGACATCCACAGTCTTTGTCTTTGGAGGGCAAAAAGTTTTCTACATGATAGAAAACTTCAGCATCCAGTAGCGTTCACAGCCACTGGCAGCTTTACATGTTTTCTCTCACGTACTTGGGTTAGCGCTTTTTCAGTGAGATTTCCAAATCCAGGCAAGTGCTTTTCCCTCACCTCCGAGGGCCTCTTAGAGATTTGTACACATACAAATGGGAAACACCATGTAAACAGTTAAAAACAACTTTTCAGGGTTTGGAGTTCTTCTTGGTCTTGAAAAGAAAACCGGAGATCTTTTATTTAAAAAACAAGTACACATATGCACAATAGTTAAATGTGATTTTTATCTTAAATATTGACAAGTCTATCTCAGCTATGCTGAGAACGGTCATTCAGTCTGTGAAATACCTCCAGAGTGAGTGCAGTTTGTTGCCTCATTCTTTAAAACAAAGTTTGCTTGATAAATGCAAACACTGACATCATATGAAGATGTCAGCACATTTCTTTATAAAAGCAGAATATATGGAATATGATACACCAGTACAAAGTTTCATAACACGAGTAAAATATACAAGTTACAATGCAATAAAGGAAGCGGGTGGTTCTGTCTTGTGTTCTTTTAGCAGTCATATTGCTGTAAAGAAAATGAAATTTACATTAGGTTATTATCCGTGTCAACACACAGTGAAATTTGTGTACTTTGTGCCCCTGTTCAAAGCAAACATAGCATAGAGCGACCTCAGTTTTGATTGAAACTTAGCCAGCCTCACACTTAGGGCTCAGACAAGGCTCACAAAATGTTTCCTAACAAACCAGACCCACTTTCTTCCCCAGGAAAAGTTACAGAAAGTGTTCACGGAAACTGCGGGATGTTGATACAGAATTGGCTTGTAGTGTGTTTGTGTAGGTCTCTACTCTGGGGGGAGAATTTAAAATAATGCCTTGGAAACTTTGCCCTGGTGTGGGCTTACTGTGGGTAACCTTTCAAATCAAATGCTCCCAAGCTGGGAACCAGCTCTTGTGGACTAAATGTCCTGTCCTGTGAGAGCATCTTTTGTCTTGCACATAAAGGTAACAGATCGTCCTAAAAGTTAGGAAGAAGCCCTTTCTACATTGTCTCCTAAGAGGACCCATGTGCTTGCCTCCAATTCAGGAGGTTATCTCTCCTCACAAAGCACAGAACCAGTTCTGTCCACAAATCCTTCTGCCAGTGCCCCAAATGCATGGAAGTCCAGAAGCAGCCGAGTTTATGCTCCTATGAGTTTCAAGAGTGAGTAGGGGTTTGCATTTAGGAATCAATCCCAAAGGTTTTATTCTGTTCTCTTTCCCCTCAGTTGGCTGAAAAACAATGCTATACTGAAGTTTTCCAACTTGGCTGTTTTTTTGGAAACTTGGCAAGATCCCAAAGGAATTCTTAATCTTGAGGTACTTGCCCAATAGGGAAAGCTAGATGTGTGTTCTAACTCCCTCTCAAAATGTATAGAAAGTTTCCATATATTTACAGCAAAGGTTTTCCTGGTAGCAGTGACTTTTGGCTTTTATTAGGTTTTTTTGTTTGTTTGTTTGTTTTTCCTTATTTTCAAGGAAAGTCAGAAGATACTGAATCAGAGGGATACATGGCATGGAATGGAAAATATAAATGAAGTAAGTTTGCTTACTTCATCTTGTTTTAAAGAGTAAGACATAAAACAGCAACTTTCCTAAATGGGCCAGACCTTAACTTCCTATCTGGTCAATAATATATATTTTTAGGAAGATAAGGAAAAAACAACTTTCTCCATTACAAACAAGTGGCTATTTCACTCCTAAGTCATATCCCCAGGAAATCAGAACTTCCTGGCTTTCTTTCACGTAGAAAGTTGCTTTCACAAGGCTATTCAAAGGCTAATAATTGTACTCCATGCTTAGTGCGTAGGCATTTTTGTTACTCCTTATTAGGGCAGAATCACAGAGAATCTAGCAGGACAGGAAGTACAGCATATAGGTTGAAAGGAAGGGTTTGGGCTAAGAATTGAAGTCTGTTATCTCCTGCCTGAGTGATCTTAAACATCTTGTTTAATGCCTGAGTCAGACTCTCATGGAAGGTGAATTTAGTGTTACATCTGATGGAATCCATATTGGTTACTATTCTTCATGTTTACTTAGGAACGTGAAGGCAAGCATCGTGGACACTCATGTGTAGCTGTAACTAGAGTGGGGTGAGTGAAACTTACAGGGATTGACATGAAAGAGGTACTGTGTGTGGTGATTCATTGTGTACCCTAATAAACTTGCCTGAGGACCAGAGGACAGAGCCAGCCACTAGACTAGACATAGAGGTCAGGCCGTGGTAGCACACACTGTTAATCCTATCACTCAGGAGGCAGAGATCTGTCTGGATCTCTGTGAGTTCAAGGTCACACTGGAAACAGAGCCAGGCAGTTGTGGCAAACACCTTTAATCCCAGTACTGGGAAGCACACATGCCTTTAATCCTAGGAAGTGATGTCTGGACAGAGAAAGATATATAAGGCATGAGGAAACAGGAACTCACACTCTTTAGACTGAGTATTTCGTAGAGGTAAGAACTAGTGACTGGCTGTTCTGCTTCTCTGATCTTTCAGCTTTCACTCTGATATCTAGCTCTAGGTTTTTTATTATAAGACATTCTAAGATTCGACCAACAACTATGTCTATGGGCAAAGCATTCCTGTGCCCACAGAGCCATCTACAAACCAGGATAACTGAGTCTGTGAGACTCAGCACTGAAGCCAAATTGAACTGATAAATTCCTACCTGCAAAGACAAAGTAAGAGTAAGTGCTGGTAGATTGAGCGTGTCTGGTTCTACCTTTTCTCTTTGATGAGAAGAACAGTGCCTTGTGGCAACTGAACACTACAGGGCTAGGCCTCAACATTGTCACACAAGTTCTCACCTGTTGGCGGGAGCAGCAATAGCCACATATGCCTCCCAGCACTCCATTGATGACTTGGATGAGACACAAAATGAATTCAATTCCACCGAGCGCCAAGAGAATAGAAAAGAGGGTCACATTCCACTCCACAATATTTTCAGGCTCATGACACTTGGACCATGTATCAGGATGCACAAGGTACCTGTGGTCAGAAGAGAAACTTCAGGCACGTGACTAGAGCATGGAGGAGATCTCATGACCTACTTTTTTGTTGGGAAGTTTATATTCAGAAACGCAGAAATGAATTAACACAATATTGTGTGCTAGGTTCTTGTGCAACTGCCATTCCAACAAATGGCAAGCTGCAGCCCACATGTTATTGCGATGACAGACACACAATTAAAGCACAAATTTTGACATGAATCTAGGATTCTGTGGCTAAAAAATAATCTCACATTAGAGATTTTTATATTCTTTAAAAGATGTAAGATTTCTTGAAAGAAAAAAGGCAAAGCTATGTTTGTATCATATTTAAAACCAAGTCATATATCATATGGATGGAAACTGAAGCAGATATGGACAAATGAAAACAATTCATGTTGAAAGGTAGAAAGCTTCTAAAGCATATTTTTATTCTGTTACCCTGCTTAATCATTGCTTAATTACTATCTACAGGAAAGATATTCAATATTTATTTGGAAAATATATTTTACATTAGATTTTTAAACTTTAAGGTATTAATTTTGGTCATTTCATTAAGATACCAAATACCTTCCTGTTTGAAAATTATCCAAATTCTGCCAAATTAGAATTCAAGTGGCTTTTATTTTCAAATGAAATTGTTGACAGTTTTTTTGAAGTTTTTAATCAAAAAGTTAATTGGCAATAGAAAGTCCAAGGGTTTAAGTCCAGGCCCTTTACTCTCATGGTGCTTCTGTAGCAACGTGGAACTCCTTTCCTCCAGCTGTTTTACTGAGATACTGAACTGCTGTGTGAGTCCAAGTCTGAACTGGAGCTGCAACATAACGGCGGGTTCTGTCCTTCCAGAATATGGACTCTCACCAAAGAGCAAGGGTTGAGAATGTCCATGCCAAGTGCACTGATCGGGAAAAAGGCTCCAAAGGAAAACCACCTTCCAGAGAGAAGACCTGTTCTATACCTACTCAGCAAGGCTGAGGTACAGTGAGGCAGGAGCAAGGCCTGTTCTTCTTAAACCCAGCCATCAGCCCAGTGTCTGGAACATGGTGTGTGTTAAAAACCACAACATGATAAATAACAACCTGAACTCCCTCTGTTAAAAATCACGAGGGTGTGTGTGTGTGTGTGTGTGTGTGTGTGTGTGTGTGTGTGTGTGGTGTATGTGTGGTGTTGGATTTCTTATAGAATGTCAGCCCTTGCTACTTCACAGAATATTTGAATTCTCAGAGAAATAGGTTTCAGCCACGTGAGGACATTAAGGAGTGACTTAAGCCCACAAAGAGACCTGGTACAATTCCTTATCACTTCTTCCTACCCCAGCTTGAAACCAGACATATAAATTTGGAACAGTACATTGAGCCAATAAGATATTCAACTTGTTGATTTAAAACAAAACACACTGCCACCACTCCACCCCTAAAAAACAAAACAAAAATCTGCCATTCTGGCTCTGTGCTTCTGCTTGTCAATAGAACAAAGTCTGTTTTTCAGGTCACAGAGTCAGATTTTCTTTGGCTCTATTTAACTACTGAAAAATTAATCAGTGGTTTGAAAGTGTTAGTCACTCTACATATTGAGATCCCTGGACAGGTTCAAATAAGGAATGATCGAGAAGAAGAGGAAGATTTTTTTGAGAAGCATAAATGAGTAATGGGGGAGGTATACAAATGGCTCCTAAAATGTGTTGATAGACATAACCCTCCATGCATCCCAGCTGCATGCATCATGACTGCCCTGGGAGGTAGTTTCATGCAACAGTTCTACATGTTTGTACAAGCATGAATCATTTTCTATGAGGACACGATGTTCTGAACAAAGATGAATCATACTGGTGACACTAAAACCCCAACTCCAGTAAGTACTAGTTTTCCTTCGGAGGCCATCATTCTGCCATGTTCATTCTAAGTTAATGTCACAGTGTGCCACCCTTCACATGAACAGTTCACAAGTACATCATCTCATTAGTGCTCATGACCACTGCCATTAGTTCCATTCTACAGAAAAATCAATTCACTTCTTCCTGCTCTTAGAGAGTGAGTGTGGAGCTGAGACTGGACCCAAGTCTAATTCATGTGTTTTATCTCATGAAGGAAAAATTAAACACACACTCTCTTTCCCCCCCTCTCTCTCCACATCCTTGTCATACAATTCATTAGGAACAGTCTTATTAATGATATAAAGTACAATCCATAGTCATTATTTTTTTTCATTTTTGTCTTTCAAAAACGTAACCTTTCAAAATTCAAACTTGAGAAGCTGAAGTAGGCCTTGGGAGATGGTCAGGGGTTAAGAGCATGTGCTACTCTTGCATAGGACCCTAATTCAGCTCCTGCCATTCACATCTGGCAACTCACAACCACCTGTAACTCCAGCTCCAGAGTACCTGAAACCTCCTTCCTCTAGACTATGTGGGTACCTGCACTCACACATACACACACACACATGCATACACACACACACACACACAAATAAAAATTAAAAATGAAAATAAAATCTCTTCTTTTAAAGAAACCAAGTCAGGAAAGGACAAACTGTACTCGTTCATTTCCACATATACCAGTTTCCACCAGCTTTTCTATTGTTTCTTTGTCATAAGCGATAAAAAGAAAATTCCAACACAAAACAATGGGGCCTCACTTAACTACACTGAAGTTAGAATTGTGGATAAGACCTTTCCTATGTCTCCTGGTAACTTAAATCAAGAGTGTTTATATGTTACATGTGAGGCAGCAAGTGCAGGTGTAGGATGAGAGCATTGGTTTGTCCCGGGCTTTGATTACATAAGGATATCATAATAATTTCTTATGAACTAGTAAAATGTATTTCTTTTGATCTCCCCATCGTTGTGACTTAATGTACACAGTATCTGAGCATAAACTCTATGAGGCAGACAGCCTGGATTCAAAGATTCAGTGGTTCTTTCTAGCAATGAGACCTTAGATAAGTCACTTCATCTTTCTCTGCCTCTTTTTCTCATTTGTAGAAGGGGAGTAACTATGGGAGTATCTATATCTATATAGGGCTGTTGGAAGATCAGAGTCAGTGCATGTATTCAATAGTTGTTAGGATTTTCCTGGGTTAATGGTTGCCCATCCATCCTTACACACTGCATAAGTTGTTGTAAGGAAATATTGGGTGGATGGATAGACAGATGACTTAGTTTTATGTGTGGTCCTTAAGAATGTGTTGCTAGGTAGAGAACAATCACGTACCCTCCCTCAGTGTCGGCAAAGGTGTAGTTCCACACACCGTGGGAATCACTACACTTTGGTCCTTCTGCCAAACCCAGCGCTGCCACAATGACGCAGTAGCCAGATCCCGCAATGCCAATGAGAGCAGCCAGTACAGAAGAAAGCATCTAGGGAGAGAAAAAGCAAGAAGTAAGCCACAGTCCTGCATCGGGAATGAAGAACTTTCACCAGGAGACAGCGCAAGGAGACTTACTGTACACCTCTTGCCATAGTTTTCACAGCTACAGCAGCCACAATAGTCATCTTCCTCCAGTCCAATGAACACAAACGCTGGCAGGAGTATCTAATCAGAAGGCAAGCAGAATCAAGTCATTGTCTTTCCCCGAGCTCATATGGCATTCCTGGAAAACATAACTATTTCTAATTATTAGATTAACCAAATATCACAAATGATGGGAAAGCCTGAGTAGAAACAAAACATATTACATTTGCTTGTTTCCATATACAGTGGTGAGCATACAGAATTTGAAATAATAACCTATAAATGTGAGCATTTTGGAAGAATTCCTAATGTATTTTCATATGAAAGCTGTTAGCACTGTTAAATCTTAAAATCTGTCTTTAAATCTGATTTTCCCCCTTGTCAAACATAGAAGATCAAATCTTGAGGAGAATGGCTGAAACATTTTGAGTAAGTAAAAAAGGTAAAAATTTTCTATTAAAAAAATATGTTTCGCCAGACGGTGGTGGTGCACACCTTTAATCCCAGCACTCAGGAGGCAGAGACAGGCAGATCTCTGTGAGTTCGAGGCCAGCCTAGTCTACAGAGTTCCAGAACAGGCTCAAAAGCTACACAGAGAAACTGTCTCAAAAAAAAAAAGTTTCAACTCAGCAGTGATGCTCTTCAAATAAGGATAAACTACTTGAAGTTTAAGTCCAAAGACACTAAGCACAGTGGCTGTTAAGCAGTGACTATGTTTGTTCATATAATTGTATTTGTATTAATTGTGGGAACATGAATGGTAATGATGTTTACGTTCAAAGCACATTTGCTAAGCTATGCCACAGTGAGTATATTCGGTTTAAATGTCTTAACATCTTTTACTTGGCAAAGAAAATAGTATTCTCTATGACAGCAACAATTCCATAAAATGTCTCTTTGCAGTTCATTCTTCCTGCATTTTAAATGAGCAGACTCAAATGTATGTACATTCCATCTGTGTTGAGGTCGAAGCTAAATGTGTCAAGTAAATTCCTGTCCACTTCAACTAAAAACAAACTGTGGAAAAACAACACATTCCGTCATTAGACTGATACCAACCTGCTTCTAACTCCAAACCCAGGAGAAAGCCTCCAGTTACTTGAAAATACCAGTGCACTCACTTAATAGTTTCCCTATACAGATGAGGGAAAATAAGCAACAGAGAGTAATTTAGACCCCGGACTGCTCTCTTGGAAGCAGCCACCTCTCTTCAGAAGCTCCCTGGAGCAAATGAGAAGTGACAGTCACTCCCGCACTCAGAAACCCGATAGCCTCTAAAAGCTTTAGGGAAAAGAGTTCACTCTAAGATAAGAGATTTTATTAAAACAACATCTAATGAAATTAGCAAAAAGTTTAACTCAACCTTGAAATATTCTGCTTTCCAAAGAAAGAGCAGCGACAACCACTAAATGCACGGGATTTACAGGTAGGCATTGCAGAAAACTTCGCGTGAGAAGAATGCACACTGTTGTTCAAGAGGAGAGGAATTTTGTAGTGAAAACAGTTCAGAGAAACTTACCAGTATGCCTCCGCCTACAATGCCGGTAAAGTACCACACAAAGCGACTGAGGTGGTCCTCATAAGCATACTTTGTCTCCCCGTTAGGAAAGTAGAGCAAAATATTAGCTACGATGCAGAGGACAGCCAACAGCACCAGAGAGTATCCGATGTATCTTGCACACTTGCCAAAGCACATGGCGGCAGCAGGAGTCCTACAGGCTTTCTGAGTTCCCTCTCTTCAGCTCAGAGATGCCCCAGATCAGACAACAGTGTGCCCGTTTGTGGAGAAAGCAGACGCGATTCACAGCCCACTCCTGCTACCACTTAAATAGTGCCAGTTCTTAGTGCCAGTAAATGAGGTACTTTGCTTTCATTGGTCCAGACTTCAGGCTCCGGTTGGGGTTGGGGTGGAGGGATGTGAAGGAATGCCCCGCCCTTCAAACGAAATCCTTGGGTTGAAACCAGGAGTAGGATGTGAGAAAATAGCCTCAGTCACAGGCAAGAGAGAAAATGAGTAATCACGGTGCAACTTGCTTACAGGATAGAGATGACGGGGAAGTCTGGCACAGCTTCCAGTAACTGCCTAGGGCCGGTGGTAGGACGCTTTGAGGCTTCGAAAGAGCTGTGATTTTTCTCTTTGAGCCATTTGGACAGCTTCCAATCCTAGGTTGTGTTCACATCTGCATCAGCATGGATTTAATTTGCAACCTGGGGCAAATTTCCTCAGCTCTGAGCTCATTTCCTTGTCTTTTTAAGACAAGGTGCCCATGCTGTCACCCACAGATTTAAGGAGGCTGTTGGGAAAATTACAGACTGGCTTCCTTTCCTCTGCCTGCGGCTAGCTCTGCAGGACAGACCCCATAGCCTATTTCCCTGGACTGCGCTGCTGAGGGCATCTGCCCCACGGCAACACGGTATCCAGCAACACGGTATCCAGCAACACGACAGCTCAAACATCCCTGACTAATGCTGTGCAGCAAAGCAGTGCCAGACACAGAGAAGGAAGGCCTGCAGCATGGCTTAGGGGGAGATGGAAGAAGAGAGGGACTCGTGTGCCCTTCCTTCATAGGTCAGAAGAGGAAGCCGAGAAAGGCTGCTGAACCTAGAGACTCCAGCGTAGACCAGATGTAGCCCCAAACTATAGAGTAGGATACATACTAACCACGAAACACTACGTGAGGAGGCCAGCAATGAGTGGGACATTTTAGTGACATGGGATTCAACTAGGGTGAGGTCCCAATGCCAATGGGGCTGAAGAAACGAATGTAAATGCAGAAAGGCCTGAGCCATCTGGATATGTGCAGAGTGAGTCCCCATAAACGCCCCACTCGGTCACCAACACTTCTAACAATGGAGTCTGTGGTCTCTCTGTTTGATTGTGAGTCCTGTTTAGAGACAGCATCCCATAGCTGATAAGACTGAGATGGCGATATAGGCGAATGACTGGGTTCTTTTAAAAGCCCTTAGAAACCGCTTTTCCTGAAAAGAACCCACTCCTCACTTTGCCTACAAGGTTAATAAAGACAGAAGAGAGCCTGGCGTCTCTACTCTTGCATTTGTCTCCTTTATTCTAGGTGCCTTACTTACCTGAACATGCTGGTGCATTAATCGCTCAAGATGTGTCTGTCTAGAAACTGGTGACACCTAGCCTGTCTTATTCTCCTTTGAGGAGACTAGCACAAGATAAAGGACTAGGCCTCTTTCCGTCAATCTTCTAGGCCTCCAAAAGGCGTCTCATGGTCCCTGGTCTTTGGTCATCGTGCGTTACAGAAACAGCTGAGCCTGGTAGAACACAGCACACTCCACATGAGGGCAGTTATTCACAGTGGGAGGCTGTACCGGGAGCTCTCCTAATAGTCTACAGGGAACCAGTTTGCTTTCTCAAGCCATCAGAACCTCTTCAGAATACTTGCAGAACCATCACCCTTACCCCACTGTCCCAGTTCTTTCTCTAAACACAAAGCTCACCTCAGTACACTAAAGATGAACTTGGGGTCATTGGACAACTATTCACAGTACATTGATTAAATCTCATCTCTCTCTGTTTTATCATAAGTTATCTCTCTAAGTGGCATATTGGGCCTTCTGCTTTCCAGTTTTGTAGACTGAGGCAAATCACTTACCTCTCAGGAATGTCCCCTGGTCTGCTCAACAACCACACTAGATGAACTTCTGAACCAGTGGTTCAGACTTAGCAAGTCTGTGAGTGTGTTGCTAGAATAGCTTTTCTCTTCTCAAGGGAAAAAAAAAAAAAAAATCCTTGTGTGTAAACAATCACTTTCTCATTGTTTCTAGAGATTCATAAACTCTAATTGAAGCTAATTAGTAGATCCTTTTCACACTTCTCAAGGTGTAGCCAGTCTAGAGACCACTTTAATCACACATGAAGATTTACCCTCAACATAATAAAAAGTTTAGATGGGGTGTGGCAATATGCATTTTGGTTTTGGTTTTTGAGACAGGGTTTCTTTGTGTAGCAGCCCTGGCTGTTCTGTAACTCACTCTGTAACTCTCCAGGGCTGGAATTAAAGGTGTGCACCACCACTGCCTGGCTCATTATGCATTTTTATAACTCTACATGAGTCTTTTGTTCTCTCAAGTTCAGGAGTCAAAACCCCAAATAAAGTATCACTGATGTTCCTGATGTTCCCTGAGGACCTCCTTTAATGGTCTTTACTATGGCCACCTTATGGTAGAATGTAAGCTGTTGCAAAGGTTGGGTGCAAGGTCTTTTCAGATGAACTGACAAAATTACCTTATCCTTTTGGGAGGGCAAAGGGAGAGAGGCACAGGGTAGCCAAGAACCCGTGATTCTCTTCTCTCAACCTTTTGAGAGCCGAGATCACAGGCATAGCCACATACTTGCCCCCAAAGGCCCTTTGTAGTACATCCTTTCTCCATACACACTCTGTCTTTGTCAGTGTCCTATGCTTCTACTCTGCAGTTGCTCACCTAACCTCAGAAGAAACAGAGTTGTTTCTGGTTTGGGTTTCTGACTTAAAACTAAGTATGCTTTTTGGGACAATCTCTTAACCATGTGACCATGGTACTAATCAAACCTTAGGAGGGAGCTAATCATGGCCTTCCTTTGGGCCACGAACCTGTTTGATATGCACAATTGCCACCTCCACTGAACCTTTTCAGTTCATGCCACAATCCCTGGTGCTGGTCCTGCCTCTGTTTCTGCTCTGAGCACCATCTTCTCTTCGAGCATTATTTTGTAGGATTTTACTCACGGGCAAGTTAAACTTCTGGGATATGAAAATCTGAAATCTGGAATGTGCTAAAGTCCAAAACCTTTTCAGCACTGATGTGATAGCACATGCTGAAAAATTCCACATCTGATCTTACATAGTAGGCTGCCATCAAAACATTGGCTCAGGGCCTAGGGATGTGCTTCACTGGTACTTGCTTTGCATGTGCAAAGTCAGAACATAGTCACTAAGTTGATCCTCAGTATGGCAAACAATAATAATAATAATAATAATAATAATAATAATAAATAAAAAATAAATTAAACCTCCAAACTAAAGATGCATTGAAAATACTTACTGCTAAAATTAGTCCAAGTGTATTGTGCTAAGTGTATACATGAAATGGTAAGTGACTTTCGTGCTCCAGCTTGGTCTTATTCCCCATGTATCTCATTATACATATGAAAACATTCAAAATATGTAATCTGGAGGCTCTGGTGTTGAACAAAGGATAATAAACCCGTGTAATTTTCCTGAGGGCCTCTCTGAAGACTGATCCTCTGACACTCTAGCCCACTCCCACTGTTCTTCATCCCATCACACCCTGCTCTGTTAACACTGCAGAACCGTTACCCCTGAAACCATCCTGTGTGATCTCTTGCCTCACTTCTCTCTCTCTCTCCCACAGACTGCAGGCCCCTCTGTGCTCCGCCACTACTGCCATGCTTGACGCAACACCTGGTGCAGCGAAAGGGCTCAGTAAAATATTGTCAAACATTTGAATGCATAAAACAAGTGAATTGATGTTCTTCACAAATATTTTTGAAGATTTATTTATTTTTATTTTAGGTGTGGGTGTTTTGCCTGCATATATGTCTGTGAACCGTGCGTGTGCATGCCTAGTGCCTGAGGAGGGCAGAAGAGGGTGTCCAATCACTGCATCACAGGGGGCTGAAGCGACAAGTGGTTACTAAGTATCATGCCGGTGCTTGCAATCAAACCAGGTCCTCTGGAAGGGTGGCCAGCACTCCTGACTCCTGATCCATCTCCCTACTCCTTGATGGTCTTCTAAGCTTTTCTGTTGTAGAATATTATTTTAAATTTTTTGTATTCATTTTACATAACAACCACAGATCCTCCTGTCATCCCTCCTCCCCACCCCATCCCCAGTCTTCCCCTCCATCCCTTCTCCCCTCCTCCAAGAGGGTAAGTTCTCCCATGGGGAAACAGCTAAGCCTGATACATTCAAGTGAGCCAGGACCAAGCCCCTCCCCATTTTTTCAGGGATGAGCAAGGTGTCCAACCATAGGTAATGGGATCCAGAAAGCCAGCTCATGCACCTTAATAGGATGAAAATGTAGTCCCTCTGCTTTCTGTGCCTTCTGCGAGCTCCTGGTCCCCTCTCTAAAGCCTTCTTGGCTATTCACATCATTTTCCTTGGCTCTGACATCACCTGGCTCCTTAGTCTGCTGCAAGTTATCTGTGCCTTGGTTGCTAAGTGTCATGCCGGTGCTTGCTTCATTTCTGATCATTGTGCTCCTAGGATGTCTTTCTAATGAATAGCTGAAAACACAACCACAAACAAAACAAAGCTTTTGCTCTTAAAGAGTGTTCATTCTACGAGGAGACTTTTTTTGTAAGTGAACTACAGACTGTCTAAGATTATTATGAATGCAGAAGAGGGATTAGGTGAAGGACAGGATGGAGAGGACCTCTCAGAGAGAGATAATAAAATTTACCTCATAGAGTATGATGTGAAGAAATGAGTCAGTGTATAAAGCTTGAAGCACGTGGTGTTTAGCAACAGCACGGTTCTCATTATTTATTATTTACTTCCTAATTTCAGCCACCCATTCTCCCGGGTAAGATGCCTTAACTTCATTTGTGACACATTTTGTTTATTTTTCTAAGATTCCATCAGTCTGGTATCATTGGTTCTCTTCATTGTTCCTGATTAATATTTAAATACTAAAGTCTCAACAGCCCTGGCTCACTTCCAGCTCCCCCACACCTCTGGGGTTAATACACAGATGCCCTGGGAGGAATGGCTTTGACTACAGTGTAGACCTGCAGATTGTTGAGCACTGGTCACAGGCTCTCAAAACCATATTTCAGTATGCTTCTCCACTGCCAGAAGAGTCTGCTTCTCCTGCCCTGCTCCACCCCTCCCCTGCTCCCTGATCTGCACTCATTGCTTCTTCAATGGTGCCTTCCAGTGTA